AAATAAATAAATTCCGGCCCAACGACCTTGTAAAATATTATAATGGCAGTGCATCAAATTCAGTGTCATCAGTTTGCCTAAATGAACACAGAATGTTTTACGCACCATTTACACGTGGTAGGGAGCAGGTGTGCATTTCTTTCCTACCAACTAACATTTTGAAAATACGAAAATTTTCATGAATTCGAATGTTTACGTCAGAACGGCTTTACCAACGATTTACACAAAAATTAGTTCTGCTCGTGTTTCATGAATGAGGCCCATTGACTTTGTATCTATGGTGGTTATGACCATGAATCTCTCTGTAAAATAGTTTTTGCTCGATTTATAGTTGCAAATATATAGTATTGTTCAGCGCAGGTCAAAATATTACTGTGTCTGCCTCTTGTTTAGTAAAGTTATTCTAACATGCTCTGTTACAGGGGACACGTTCATGGTGTTACTCCATATGGTGTGGCCTGCAGCGGTTGTGGGTCAGAGATCTGCCGAGACAACGTCTGTAGTAAGAGCTTTCACAATAAAACATCACAGTAACACAATTAAACATTACCATCCACACCATCTGAAATCAGATCCTCATGAAGACATGTGATAATGACAGCCACACAATGTATCTTTCCACACACACTATATATATATATATATATATATAAACATGATATTACATTACATAACATTTGTATTAAATAATAATATTATATTATTTTTCATAATATTTTTTATATTATTATTAATCTTATATTTATATTATTATTAATCTTATATTTATATTATTATTTCATTAAAATACTCTTTTCTTTTCTTACTCTTAAAATGATTTATTTGTGTAATATAATGATTTAATGTACACTGAAAAAAATGGTGTAAAAACAATTTTTATTTAGAAATTGCTAGTAAATTTCACAATTAATTACAAAGAAATGATAAGTAACATTGAATTAAATGTGCAATTTAAAATAGTATTGTCTTGTAAAACGTACTTCAATAATCTATTTTTAATAATTTTTTTACAGTGTAGTCAGTTTTATGAAGCCATATTAAGTTATATATTTGACTTGAATAAACCAGTTAATCTAGATGTAACTAAATTCACAGTATATTTAGTATGTTTTAGTAAGTCAATTTTATTTGTATAGCACTTTTCACAAGTAGCTTTTTAGACAATCATGATTATATTTAAAATATCAATCTAATCTTTTTAGACTTAATTTATCATTTCCATATTTATATCCATTTTGCATAAATTTCCCAGTATGACGTCTTTCAAAACTACATCTTGCTCAGATATGCTGTGATGTCTCTTTACAGGATATGATTGGTTCCCTGGGTGGGACTATGGCCCGCCCTCTTCAGCCTACAGTATTTCCTATTGGCTGACTAATCTTGGAATGTGTCTACTAGGAGTTTGCTGGCTACTCCACTTTTATGAAACACATTAATGTCATCATGTGAACCTGTTCCCTAATGTCTCAAACTTGAACCTTAAAATTTGCATCTCTACATAATTTCATTATGGTTGGATATTAAATTAGCAATCACTGAAATAATAATAAGAAATCTGTCTATAAATATACATGTATAGTTTTCTTTTCTGCTGTGTGTAAATCATTTATTTTAGTTCCATATACACAGTAGGTCTGTAAATGCATTTAGAAAACTGGAATTTTCATTTTGCTTGTAAGAATTGCCATCATAAAAGTGCTAGTTGAATAAACTTGGGTTGATATTTTATACTCTTACTGCTTGTCTCCTGTGTGATTTTCTAGCCTTCAGACTCGATCTCATTTCTAAAGTGTGTTACAACCTCTCAGGATTATGAAGCGTGAATATGACTGTGTGTGATAGTGAAGATACACATCAGTACAGTGCCTGTGAATTCAGCTGTTGTGTGTTTCACACACACACACACACACACACACACACACACATATAACCAACGTAGTCACGACACACTCCTGATGATTTTACAGTCACCATGGAAACGGGCGTACATATAGCACACTGTAGGCCGTGAGTGAGAACAGAACAGCTATGAGTCACGAGTTACGAATTATGTTTTGAAGTAGTTGTGTGTTTATGTTTCTGAGTAATCAATCAGCAGTGCTCTATTAGTGCATGAGTAATTTGTCATTATTTTAGGATGTCTGTACACCTGGGCTAATGACACATAAGGATGTCAGAGATGAAGAAATTGAGAAATATTTTAGGAATCTCGTTAAAAATGCACGAGTCAAGTTCTTAGGCAAAAACACTTCATAAAAATGTTTCATAGATGTCTGAAAAGTGTTTAAACAATTTTTTATTAAAAAAATTATTTGTCATTTAATGATAGTTATGTTTACCCATTAAGTAAAAATCAATAAAATATTTCTGACACATTGAATACATTAGAGTACACATCAACATCATTAAATTAAATAAATAAATAAATAAATATGAATTTTTGAGCCATGAATATCATAAAGGATTCTTGGGGTTACTGCATTTACATTTTGAAAACCTGGACTTAAATTATGCCAAAACACTTTTTTAAAATGCTTAAAATAACCTATTAATGCAAAACTTTAAAACTCAAAATGAATTTTAATTCAGAACTTTAAAACATGTTGATCATATCATAGAAGAGTTGTATTTATATCTGTAGAAATGGCGTTTTTAATATATTTTCAGAAAATCCCGCCTTTGTAATCATCGCCTTTGTACAACTGTAAAAGATTAGTTAAATTTTTTTTGTAATTAAATTACGTAATTCCGTTACATGTAACTAGTTACTCCCCAACCCTGCTTCTAGCTTGTTATTTAGTTCTTTTCTCCTCTGATCCTTGCCAGTTAGTTTCGGTTAGTTTGAGGATTAAAGATTACCTTCCTTGGACTCTTGTCTCCTGTGCCTTTGTGAGTGAGCTCTACACAGAAGTACACTGACAACAGTAGTACTAGGCTGACTGAGCTGAAGAAGTTAAAGCAGGTAACTGAGGCAAAATAAATGTAAATACATGATAAAACTGCTTACATGCTTTCATAATCAATTCAGTGTGATTCTGTTGTATATGAATAGACAAAACATTAGTTTACAGTTTGACCTGTACATCTGCAGTACCCTGAACGCTCATTGCCAGTAATCTGATTTGTTTCACAATAGCGGCCTTGTGAACGAGTGTGTGAGAGAGAAATGTTTGTGAATGCAGGCCAGTCTCATTGATGTCACGAGAAATTCAACAGGCGCACAAGCCAGAGTCGGATTCCTCTACACTCTTACACTCGCTGTTTGCTGACTGAAAATAAATGACTGATACGGGAAGGTGGTAACGGGATTTTACAGCATAAAAGCATCTGTTTGTGGATCTAGGCAGCTGAGATTCTCCTGTTGAAGTAAGTGGAACTAACTAATTCTATTCTGATTGACTCGGAGGTTTGAAAAGTCATCATGGTGTTGTTTGGCACTACATTGATTGTGGTCACGCTACATTCAATGATGCCAATTTTGAGTGGAAGACTGAAAAGTGAAACTCAACAAACTGGGACTCGGATTATGATTTTCAACATCCCAAACACTGAACATAAAGAAACACATGAGAGCTTGGATGATGTTTTTCTAGATGAACCCGCTTTAAACCCGTTTAAGAGTCTAGAGTTTTATGCTAGTGCTGATGAATTTTCAAGAAACACTGTGGCTGAATCGACTGATATGCATTCAGTAGCTGATTCCATATCAACCAGAACTGAATGTGATAAAATTCATTGTGAAGGTAAAAATATTATACACAAGGAGCCTGAGATGGATGAGAAGTTGTATAAGGTGGGATGTGATGGTGAATGCATAATTAATTCACTGGATAACACCTCCTCTGATGGCTTGGAAGATACATCTAGTGGAGATCCAGTGGTCGTCACGCATCTCGGGCGAGTTCGTGGCCGTACTCTGGATAAAGCTCATGTGTTTTATGGGATTCCATATGCAGACCCTCCTGTGGGGGACAAACGCTGGGCTCCTCCTTCATCCGTGTCACCTTGGACGTACACGTATGACGCCACATTTCCCCGTCCTGCTTGCATGCAGGTGTGTGCTGGTGAGTTCTCTCGGATGTGTCCTCCTAAGGTATGAAACACTCACATTTGCAAACCATCCACAAATTAAAACAGTGCATTTAGACAATTATAGTATGTATTACATTCATATATTTATTGTCCTGAAGGCTTGGGCAACAATAAAAAAAATTTCAGTGTTACAGGTGCTCGTTTTTAAAGTTAGAGGTTTTTCAAAACTATTAATCTTAATAATGTAATTTGCCCTGTCATTTGTACTACATGGACATATACTGTATAGGAACCCGAATATGGGCTGTGTTGACTTGGGCCTGTTAGTAACCACCTAGTAATTATCTAGCAATGCCCTAGTAACCATATCACAAATCACAATGTGCTAAGAAAGACTACCAAGCAATGCCCTGGCAACCATCTAGCAACAATATAGAAACCACATAGCAGCACACAAAGAAACACTAAATACATGTCTACTACACAGAGCAACATGCAAAGAAAGACTCAGAACACTTTATCATCCTCCTAGCAACATCCTGGAAACCACCAAGCAACACTCTAGAAACCACATAGCAACACATCAAGCAACACCCAGAACACATTCCAGCAACCACATAGCAACACCCTGGCAACCACCTAGCAATACTCTAGAAACCACAAAGCAAAACACTAAAAAACCTTCAGAAAATACCATAGCAACACACCAAATAACACTCATAACACTTTATCAACCTCCTAAGTAACGTCCAACCTACCTAGCAACATAACTACCTAGCAACATTCTAGGAACCACATAGCAACACACTAAGAACACTCCAGCAACCACATAGTAACACCCTGGCAACCACCTAGCAACAATATAGATACCACATAGCAACACACTAAGAAACACTAAGAAAGAACACTTTAACAAATTCTAATAATGTCCTGGGTACTGCCTAGCAACACTCTAGAAACCACATAGCAACACACTAAGAAACACTCAGAACACTCCAGTAACTACATAGTAAAACCCTGGCAACCACCTAGCAACACTCCAGCAACCACACAGCAACATACTGGCAACCACCTAGAAACATTCTAGGAATCACATTGAAACATGCTAAAAAACCCTCAGATCATGTCAGCAACTGCATAGCAACACTCTAACAATCACAGAGCAACACACTAAGAAACACTAAGAAGAATTAAGCAACCACATAGCAACACCCTGGCAACCATCTAGAAACCACACTTCCAACATGCTAAAAATGCTCAGACCACTTTAGCAACCAAATAGCAATGCCTTGGCATTGTTGGCAACCACCTAGAAATGACATAGCAACCATGTTAGACCATGCTAAGAAAGACTCAGACTCTGCATAGCAACACCCTAACAACCACATAGCAATAAGAAAAAAAAAACACTCCAAACATTTTAGCAGCCACATAGCAACACGCTGACAACCACACTGCAATGCCATAGTAACCACATTGCAAACAAAGACTCAGCACACTTGAGCAATTACATAGCAACACCCTAGCAACCATACAGTGAATGTGAATGTCTGCATTTGTACAGGTTAGCGAGGACTGCCTGTATCTAAACGTCTTTGTTCCTGTGAGCGTCAACCTGTCGTTGCCGATAGTAACAGCCCTGCCGGTGATGGTGTGGATTCACGGCGGTGACTTCATCGCTGGCTCCGCCTCCAAACCTCTATATGATGGCCGCTTCATCAGTAACTATAGCAACACAGTAGTTGTAAACATGGAGTATCGTCTTGGTCAGTCAAACTAATTTTCCATATTGGCATACACGATGACATCTGACTGAGCCACTTCCTAAGATGTTCTGGTCAATTTTTAGGTGCGTTTGGCTTCTTAGTCACAGGCAAAGATCCCGAGAGCTCAGCAGTGGGGAATTATGGGATTCTAGACCAGCAGGCAGCACTGTGCTGGGTCCAAGAAACCATTGCCGCTTTTGGAGGAGACCCAAATAAGGTATCAGGGAACACTAGGGGTGGATGAATGACAACAGTGTGGACATCTAATTACAGTATATTATATCTGTGTGTGTAGGTTACTCTGTTTAGCGAGAGCGCTGGAGCCCAATCAGTGTGTCTTCATCTGATGATGCAGAGCAGCGAGTATTTGTTTAGACATGCAGCCATACAGAGTTTACCATTCTCTTTGCCACTGAAAACCAGGTAAAACACATATAAAACAGTTAGTTCACCCAAAAATTCTGTCATTAATTACTCACCCTCATGTCGTTCCAAACCCGTAAGACCTTCGTTCATCTTTGGAACACAAATTAAGATATTTTTGATGAAATCCGGGAGCTTTATGACCCTCCACAGACAGCAAGGGTCCTACCACGATAAAGGCACAGAAAGGTACAAAGAACATCGACAAAATAGTCCATGTGACATCAGTGGTTCAACTGTAATTTTTTGAAGCTACGTGAATACTTTTTTGTGGGCAAAAAAACGAAGATAACGACATTATTCAACAATTCTTCTCCCCCCAGTCACCCTCTGCCTCCATTACCAGAAGAGTACCACAATGCATGCGATAAATATCTTAATTTGTGTTCAAAAGATGAACAAAGGTCTTATGGGTTTGGAACGACATGAGGGTGAGTAATTAATGACAGAATTTTCATTTTTGGGTGAACTATCCCTTTAAGCTCTGTCCCAAAACCTGGTCAGCTGCCTCGTGGCCTGGAGCCAATAAATTTGAAATGAAAGGGGTCATATGATGCGATTTCAATTTTTCCTTTCTCTTTGGAGTGTTACAAGCTCTTGGTGCATAAAGAAGATCTGTAAAGTTGCAAAGACTAAAGTCTCAAATCCAAAGAGATATTCTTTATAAAAGTTACGAGTTTAGAATCTCAGCAAGACAAGGTATCTTGTGTAATTCTGCTTACCATTTGCATTGGTTGCACATCTATGGCATAAAACCTTTCAGTTCACTATGTTTTGGAACAGAGCCTTAGCCTATAGAACAACAGAGAAAGCATGATGAAGCTGCTGATGATGATGGTGCTTATTATTTTGTAGATGGGATGCGCTGAAACTGGGTTGGGATTTTGCTAAACTGACTAATTGCTCAGCATTTGATCTGCCCTGTCTGCGCTCTCTCAGCTCACATGACGTGCTCAATGCCCAGGTTAAATCAGGTACATACTCACATCAGTGTTATTGATAAATAAATCTTTAAAAAAATTGAATCAATTAATTCTAATTGTAAGTAAAATACAATTTAAATATTAGATGGAAATTAATAAATACTTGATGTACTAGAATAACTAAAATAAAAATGTGTTAAAATTTCTTCATCAGAAATTTATCATTACATCACTTGCTCACTAATGGATCCTCTGCAGTGAATGGGTGCCGTCAGAATGAGAGTCCAAACAGCTGATAAAAACATCACAAGAATCCACTCCATCAATTAATGTCTTGTGAAATAAAAAGCTGTTTTTAAGAAACAACTCAATAGTTAGGACGTTTTTAACTTCAGACCATTGCTTCTCTATGCATAATAATATGGACTCGTATTTTGGCCAAAAGTGATAAAGTCAAGAAGTCTTAATGGTGGATTTGTGTCTTAAATGTGCAGCTTTTCACTTCTCAATATGTTCATTGATGGACTGGAATGGTGTGGATTACTTGTGTATTATTGTGATGTTTTTATCAGCTGTTTGGACTCTCATTCTGACGGCACCCATTCACTGCAGAGGATCCATTAGTGAGCAAGTGATGTAATGCTACATTTCTTCAATCAAGTTCCGACAAACAAACTCATCTACATCTCGAATAGTTAAGAGGATGAGTACAATTTCAGCAAATTTTCATTTTTGGGTGAACTATTCTTTAACCTGGAATATTCAGTAAGGTTAGCATTGTTTACCTCTGTCAGCTCTCGTCTGGTCTGTCCTGTAGGTACAACCTCTGAGGAAGGCGTGACCTTTGTGTACAGCGTTTTCAACCAGTCCGTATCAACTCTGGAATGTGTGCTCTACACTGCCGCCATTTTTAAGCAACATGCACTTAACATTCTGCACAAATACATTCCTTTCTACCGAAACCAGGACAGAAGAGTGATGCTTTCACAAGTAAGACACCAGTATTCTTCAGATAAAACAACTGCAAGACAAACACAAAATAGAGGTTAGGCATTATGTGTTCTTACACTTCTTTAGCTTATAAAATTAACCTGTTTTGCAGATTGTCACGGATTACATGTTTCTGTGTCCGACTCGATGTTCTGCTCGTTCTGGAGTGAGAGTCGGTGGAGCCGTTTGGTTGTATGTATTTGACCACGCTCCATCTGATCACAACATATGGGCGGGGCTTCCGTTCTGCTACAATCGTACCTGCCATGGGGCGGAGCTTCCCTTTCTCTTTGACTCCGCCCCCAGCACTAACTTCACACTTACACCTCAAGAGACACTTCTGGCCAATCGGATGGCGTGTTACTGGGGAATGTTTGCCCACACGGGGGACCCAAACTCTCGAAGTGAACAGACGCACTTCTGCACACAGCAGAGGCTGCCGGTTTGGCCTCGGTACACGGCTCCAGAGGGCTGGCCCATCCTGAACCTGACTCTACCCTCACACCCACAGCACGGGGACAGGGACCATTTCTGTGACTTCTGGGATCGGCTGGACATATATTGAGGGGAGGAGATTGAGCTGGAAGAAAGACAAGATCAGGGCTCAAACAATTTTGATAAACTCTTTGCTATTCATTAACCATTCTGCCATTTCTTTTTTTAATTCAAATCTCATCTTTATATATTATCAGTGACTGGGCCAGTGTTATAACAAAATATTATTTTTAAAGTACATTATGATTCAAAAGTTAGGAGTAATTTTTTCATGTTTTTGAAATGTCTCTTCTTCTTCAGCTGCATTTATTTGATCAAAAATACAGTAAAAACAGTAATATTGTGAAATATTATTACAATATTAAATTTAAATTACAAATTTAAATTGTAAACTGTTTTCTTTTTTAAATATAATTTAAAGGTGACATATCATGAAAATCTGACTTTTCCAGGTTTTAAGTGCTATAATCAGGTCCAAGGTGCATCTACCAACCAAGGAAATGTGAAAAAGATTAAACCAGTAACTTTGTTTTGTTTTGTTCTGTCCGTGTGCTTCGGATGTGTGCGCTCAGAAAACCATATATCAGAAGTTTAAACTCAATTTCAGCGCGATAAACATGATAATCAGAACCAAAACAGATGTTTTTAGCAGGTCCCAGCTGTAATGGCGCAGCTCTATTCTGGAAAAGGGTGCGGGAACAGCAGCTCATTTGCATTTAAAGAGACAGACCCGAAAAACAGCGTGTTTCTGCTTCCACTCAAAATAGGCATTTTCAAAATGATATAATAAATGATCTGTGGAGTATTTTGAGCTGAAACTTCACAGACACATTCTGGGGACACCAGAGACTTATATTACATATTGTAAAAAGGGGCATAATATGTCTCCTTTAAAATTTATTTCTGTGATACAAAGCTGAATTTTCAGCATCGTTATAGAACGGCATTTATTAGAAATAGAAATCTTTTGTAACATCATAAATATCTTTACTGTCACTTTTGATCAGTTTAATCCATCTTTGCTGAACAAAAGGATTTATTTCATAAAAGACAATCATACTGATCCCAAGCTTTTGAAAAGAGTAAATTGCACTACTTTTATTGACTTACTAAATGTCAGGCTTTAAAAAAACTCAGACAATGATTTTGAACTTTTTTTAAAAAAATTATTAAAATGTATAATGCATATAGAACTGTATTACAAATACTCTTATTTGTTTCAAGAAAATTATAGAATGCATTTATATTCTATATTTAAATGTTCAAAATAAATTACTGATTTATATATCAGTAATTTATATGTGTGTGTGTGTGTGTATATATCTCTCACATAATGAAGGTATTTGTACTCTTAAGACACATAAAAATGCCTGAATGTCTTTCCATTATATAAAATATCAAAACAAGTGCCATTTATTTTAAAAGAAAAATAAAGGAAAAGGTAAATAGTCTTTAAACGTAGTTAATTTGATGATCTACAGCTGTTTTTATTCTGCAAGGACACATTTGTGAACTTCAGAGGAAATGACATCAATACATCCACTAAAATGACCAGTTGGTTTGAAGTCATTGCAAACATGGCTCAAAAAAGTTAATGATTTAAGAAGGTTCAGAAGCATTTGTTTGCAGATGCCACTTTGTTTGATATTTTGTATCAAATGCTTTGACATTCAGACATTTTTAAGCAAGACTTTCAAAGTTCAAATACTATAAACATGTAGTGGATGACTGAATATTACAGACTTATGCATCTGTTGACTGAGTGGAGTTTGAACACTCCGGCTTCTCTTCCTCCTCCTCCTCCTCCTCAGAGTGTGTTTGAGGGCCAGTGCATAATGGAGAGCGTGTGTGTAAAATAGCCCCTACACACAAGAGTCTGTGCAAACACTGCAAAACAGAAACAAGCAGCTGCTTCTTTCCACTGACCGACTCAAGACCCGGGGCAGAACTCTCACTGAACCTGAACCCAAACTTCAACTCAGGCATTTCTGACTCTCGCTCTTTGGTCTTGTCCCATTCCTTAAGATCATCCAAGAAATGTGTCTGGATATTCAGAAACCGCCTGTGATTATAAGCATACAAAGTTCTAGGCAAACACAACAAGGCCTCTGCCAGCAGCCTAAAGCTCTCTGGGTCACTAGAGTTACGTTCGTTCAACAAAAAGTAATGTAGCAAGAACTCAAACACGCCTCCAACGGGAAGCACTCCTCCTGTATGCATAATTCCACCCCACAGGTCTTGCGATGAAAGCGCGCTTTGTGATTGGTCCGAACACGGACTCTGTGATTGCTCAGACGCCAGTGTCTGACAGAAGCTTTCAGACAGATTCTGTAGCATTGCAAACACACCTTGGCTCACACACACAGTCTGGTCAAGCAATCCTGGCGCTGGTGCACAAAGAACAAGCGTGTGTGTTTGCGAAAACATGCCCAGACACGCATAGCGATGCCCACCGAGTTGCACACGTCTACAGGACTTGAGCATCACGAGGTGTTGAAGTGGTGGATGAGAGAGTGTTTCCACAGCGCTGATGCTTGAAAGAAAGTCAAGCTGGGCCGAATCGACACACTCAAGTAGAGAAATGTGGTTCAGTCGAGCCCATTGCAACACTTTCTGGCTGCTTCACGGACGATAGCACCACATGCACCTGTAAGTCTAATAAACTTGCTAACTTTTGCTTCATGACGCTCTCTGAGCGGTGCAGATAGTCCTTTTGAATGCACACGGATATGTTTTCACCTACAGCAACAAATGAAGCTCCAAAGCTCTCATATAAAATGAGTGCTTTTACTGATCCTGCTGGTTCAGTCCACACTGACCAATCACAAGTCACAACCAGGCCTTCAATCACCTCTGAACAGCCAATAGGAAGCCCTGTCACGGCCGTATGTAGAAATGAGAAGTTTGAATGTATGAATGAGATTGTTTCTACTGCGTTTTGATCTTGATTGACTTGATGGAAGAACTCAGACAGGACTCGTTTCAGTACATCCGCCTAGCCGATCCCCACTCTTCCAGAAATATACCCGCCAATCAACAAATCAAGAACGCTGCCCTCCAGGTTGTAACTATGGTGACTACAATACAATGAGGCATATGGGATAATTTTGTGTGTTACGACATCGTCCAATTCCTTCCTGCTCACAGCCAACAAGCGATTAGCGAGATTTTGAAGATTACGGATGCTACAAGATCCTTTGCGGCGCATGTGTGAGTCCTGAATTCCTCGTACCAGCGCGGCCAACAGGAGAATGAATGATTTTGTGCCGTCTGCAGTAGCTTTAGCATGTGCACACACACAGTCCAACACCATCCTAAAAAACAAAGATAACAAATGCTGAATAAATCCACATTATTTTCATATAAAAATATAATTAATATAAATAAATCCTGAAAAATGTCAATATTTTTAGTTTGTCTCTAGTTTTGAAATTTGAATATATATAATTCACAGGTATTTATTTTCATTTAGCCTAATAGACCTACTAGCCCTAAAATCCTTCATTTAAAGGGTTAGTTCACCCAAAAATGAAAATTAGGCTGCGTTTTACTCACCCCCGAGGCATCCTAGGTGTATATCATATGACTTTCTACTTTCAGACGAATCCAGTCGGAGTTATATAAAAAATTGTCTTTGATCTTTCAAGCTGTTTAATGCCACTCAGCGGGTGTTGCATTGCTTCAGTCCAAAAGAACTTTAATAAAAATCGCCCATCTATAAAAAAAAGTGTCTCACACAGCTCCGGGGGGGTGAACAAAGGCCTTCTGTAGCGAATCGATGCGTTTTTGTAAGAAAAACATCCATATTCAAAACTTAATAATCCCTTTAATGTAGCTTGCGCCAACAGTTGTCTGAATGAAGAAAGTCATATACACCTAGGATGCCTCGGGGGTGAGTAAAACGCAGCCTAATTTTCATTTTTGGGTGAACTAACCCTTTAATAGTATTTTTAGATCTCTATATACATGTACAGTTGTGGTCAAAATTTTATATACAGTTTCTGCAAAATGTTAATTATTTTACCACAATAAGAGGGATCATACAAAATTGATGTTATTTTTTATTTAGTACTGACCTGAATAAGATATTTCACATAACGTTTACATATAGTCCATAAGAGAAAATAGTTGAATTTATAAAAATGACCCCGATGAAAAGTTTACATCCACTTGATTCTAGGTCCAAATGCTCACTGATGCTCCAAAGGAAACACGATGCATTAAGAGCCAGGAAGGGAAAACTGGTCAATTGGACTTATTTTTGTCTTTGGGGAAACATGCAAGTATCTTCTGTAGATTCTGAAGGGATACTAAATGTTTTCGATTATCCGGGAGTGACGCGCGGTGACCCGCTGCCAAGATGGCGATGGCCGCCTCCGCCCACTTTGAGCTTCAAAAACCTCTTCAGGAACCTACAGGTGACTTCACGGACACTACGTCCATGTTTTTATACAGTCTATGGTTCAAATATGCAAAAGATGCAGGAAAACCAAAATATTTGTGGGACCTGAAGGTCTTTTTCTGAAGAACAGCAGGCAGTTTAACTGTTCAGGACAACAAGGGACTCATGAACAACTTTAAAAAAAAAACCCCGCTGTGAATCGTCCAGGTAACAACACAGTATTAAAAATATTTTTAGAAATTCAACTATTTTCTCTTGTGGATTAGATGTAGACATGCTTTATGTTAAATATCTTATTCAAGTCAGTACTAAATAAACAATAACATGCATTTTGTATGATCCCTCTTATTTTGGTAAAATAATGAACATTTTGCAGATACTGCAAAGTGTATACAATTTTGACCACAACTGTATATTTATACACATATATACACTATTGTTCTTTAGCAGTAAATCAGCATATTAGAATGGTTTCTGAAGGATCATGTGACACTGAAGACTGGAGTAATGATGCTGAAAATTCAGCTTTGCATCACAAGAATAAAATATATTTTTAAAATATATTCAAAAAGAAAATAGTTATTTTAAATTGTAATAATAATTCTCAATACTACTGTTTTTACTGCATATTTTTAATCAAACAAATGCAGCCTTGGTGAGAATAAGACCTGGCCATGGGGTGCTGCAGGTGGAGTGTGTTGAGAAGGCTCTGTCCATGTCTGGTGATGAGAGTTTCTCCTGTGTCTTGAGTGAACAGCACACTTCCACCGTCTGGACCGAGACAACGGCGGGCGTTTTGAAAAGTGGGGACATGGGGTAATGTCCTGAAAAGTCACCTTCTCCTTGTAATACCTATGTCATACCCTTGTCATTATACAAATTTATGTCCTCATTTGTCACAAAAACGCACACACACACACACACACACACAACAACACTGTTAACCCATGTATGATGACACTAACAAAGAGAATTATTAAACAAAAACACACATCAACATCAAAAATATATGGGGACAGACACACTAAAAATAAATAATATTTCTAATGAACAAGCAAATTTGAGTGCATTTGTCTAAACAGAAGCATAAGACACCAGTGAAATTTGTCATATGACTATAACTACACTGATGGATATACAGAAGAAAAACATGAAACCAAAGACCTGAACCCCAACAAAACTGTAAAATGATCTCGAAACGATAATAACCTTCTAATCTGTTGAACATCCTCAAACTTCATGCAGTTTCCAGGCGACGCTCTTCTTCTACCGTCTTCTTTCTTCCTGTAAACATAGCGGAATATACTGACACCTACCGGACAGACAGTGGAAGTGTCTTGTATTAATAGTGCAATTATTAATAATGGATGAAAGAAATATTTAATAAAACTTTTAATATCTTTTCATAGAAAAGGTTTGATACGTTCCATAAAAACTGGTGCATTTCATCATTTCAGCTTCAATAAAATCTGCTAAATAAACCTTAAAACTGCAGTGCATAATGAGTGAATCATTATACACTGCAGTTAAATTAAACTTTTAGGGTTTTAAAATTATACATAAGGTATATTATGTATAATGTAGATAAATTATATATTATAATAAATTATATAAGATATAATTATATTTATTACATAAATTATACATAAAATATAAATTATAATTTATATTTATCAAATAAATTTTGTTTTAAAATTTAATCTTTAAGTTTTTAGTTTTATTTAATTTGAGTTATTTTAATACTTCAACAAACTAAATGGAAATAATATATATATTGAATTTATAAATGTGTATGTATGTATATATATATATATGTGTGTGTGTGTGTGTGGTTGTACATACACATGTAGTTGTTTTTTTGGGTGTTTGGCTTAGTGTTATGTTAGAATCATTATTATACTCTTATACCTTTTGTTCTTTAATATTTTGAATTGTTTTTAGCTTTATTT